ACAAAGATCCTCCTGGGTCACTCACAAAGCCTCTGCTCACCAGCTGACCCAGCTGCGATTCAGCTTAGGAGGTCAGGCTCCAGCGCCTGAGAAACCATAGACCTCTACCAGCCCAGCAAGAGCAGTGTGGTGGTCTTTGTGGGGGCAAAGCAGCTCCAGCACACAGCCCGCCGGTGTCAGGCATGCATTTTCACCTTCACCACCTTCAAAATCACGATCGTCTCACCGGGGGTATTACCTGGGGGGATATTACCCAGGGGGAGGAAGAGAACAGTGTGGAAAGCCCTGATGTTCTCACTGTGTTAAAACATAGTTATCGGAGGTTCGCAGTGAAACCTGAGGAAAAGCAGGTTTCATGGGGACTCTTCTTTAAAGCCCCATCTTCAGAAGAAACAGCAAGGATCCTGGCAGCTGGAGGTTTCATGAAACTCTGTCACACAAGTCAGCTGTACGTGTTAAAAGGCTGATCAAATGGTTTCATTCCTTTGGGGTTTCATTTCTGCAGCCCCAGTGGGAACACCTTCATCTCCCACGTGATCGCTGTTGAACACTGTCTTAGGATAGCGAACTGTCCTCGGTGTCTTACTGTCCTAGGATAGTGAAGTATCCTAAGTAAGCTACCCTAAGGAGCTGTCTGCTGATACATTGGGTCTTTCTTTCTTTACATCTGAGAATATTAGGGGAGGAATTAATTTAAGGTATGTTCTAAAGCAAGGAACTTGCCAGCCTGGCTCCTATCCAGACTGTAGTATCTGCTGCCGCACATCTCATGCAGATTACTCCATCCTCTGCTATTTTCTCTAAGAACTACTAAACAGATAACACGTGGAAGAGACTTGCCTAACACCATTCTCCAGCAGTAATCCAAAGGGAGCTATACTCCGTGCTTTGTTTTCCACCCAAAGAGGAGGAGGAACATTTCTTCTGCCTCTGCCACGCCGTGCAGGGCAGGGGCTTTGGGGGTCCCTGTGCACTTCAGCCAGAGACACAGGAGCCGTCACAGACTCTACTCTCTCGTCTGTAATTCATATGCTTGTTGCTAATGGGGGGAGGGGGGTTATTTGGGTATTTGCAGGTGCCAATCATGCTTTGGTTAGAAACAGGGCTGCGGGAGCTCATTAAGCAAGCAGGTGTCTTCTCAAAGAAGAGTTATTTAAGAAGAGGATGCTACAGCATTCCCAGAGCAAAAGGGCCTGATGGGCTGCACGTGGAGCAATGCTCATTGCTGAAGCTGAGGACAAGAGCAAATGGAAACAAACTGAAAAAAAAAAAGAAAAAAGAATTATACATTTTTCAGTTTTGCTAGTGCTGTTTGTACTGCGGAAATACAGAACAAATTTAAACCTTAGCATAACTCTAAACCTGTACATATTACCCAGAGAAAATGAGATAATATATTTTAGTCAGTCATACCAGAAAAATCAATTTAAAAAAAAGAAAAGAAAAAAAAACCAAAAAAAAAGCAGCCGCCTTTGGCTGTGGCAGGTGAATGAAACAGGACTGCCAACAGCTGGAAAGCCTGGGGGAGGCGATGTGTGTTATCAGTCCCGGGTTGCTCTGTGCAGCTGTAATCTTGCTCCGAAAGGTAAATTCCATGTTAGGCTGCCTAAAGTAATCCAGCCTACAGGGGCATTTTGCTCCTTTTATAAATAAAGACCTAGCGAAGAAGTGGTGAAATCCCCTTGCTGTGTTAGAGCCTGGGTAAGAAAGCAGCTCTTTCTTCCTCCTGGAACAGGGCACACGCCGACTCGCGCTTACCTTTCAAAACCAGTTAAAACCGGTATCTGCAGGGTGCGAGGCGATTCCAACACGTATGTCACTGCATGCATGTCTGCTTCGCCATCAGCTTGTGTGGCTCATCATCTGTCTGCTCTGAACAATAACTGTTAGGTTAGCAGCCTTTTCACTTGTAAATGTAAATATTGTATCGAGAACACGATATTTGAAATACAAAATACAGTGTTATTAAGACAGCGCTCACACATCAATTCTCGTGTGACTATAATTTGTGAAATGCCTTAGGAGGGGCTTATAAATAAAGTATAAGGTGTTATTATGAAATACGTTTTAACCAAATGCACAGAAATGTCTCATTCCTATTGAAATCAATATGAAAACTCCCACTAATTTCAGTGGTAAAAAGAGGAGACCCGCGGAAACTGCTGTGTTACGCTGAGCAATACATTACAGCAGATTTCAGTCTTCCTAAGTAGTACAGCTCCGGAAGAAGGATGAGGATGAAAATGGGTGCTATAGGCTTTTCAGAGCACGCTGAAGATTTTCATTTCCCGCTGATGCGGTGGTAGTGGCGTCTGGCGAGGCAGCACGTCCCCACGCAGCTGGGCTGCCTGCTCGAGGCCGGCTGGGCGCTGGGGCTGCTCCGGGGCCTCGCCTCGGCAGCAGCTCTTAGAGGCAAGCAACGCTCTGGGGACCAAATGCCCTCGCTTCTTCCCGATGTGCAGTCAGCCAGGGACTTCTCACCGCCGACCTCCTTCCACAGGGCACGATAACGAGCCAGTGAGCCAGAAATGTCTCCTCTCCGCCGCGGCTAGCTAGCCTGTCACCGAAATAAGCTCAGGGCTCATCTGCACACACAGCTGCTTTGTAGCAGAGGTGCGGGGCGGTGGAAGGCTGCAGCCCCTGGAGAAGGCTTCGGAAGGGGCGCAGAGGGCTGGCAGTGGCTCAATGGAGGCCACCAGCGTCTGGACCACAGGTGGTGGAGCTGCACGGCCGGGAAAACCTGGGAAGGGCAGGGAAGAGCTACAAGAAGCTGCCTCTGCCCGCGTATCGGCCCCTGCAGAAACAGCAACCATGGCACAAAAGCTCTCGGGGGAGGAAGGGCTGGGAAGCTCATTTCCATTCCTGGTCGAGCAGAAGTTGGCATTTAGATAACAAACTACATTAGTAGGTATAAACACACTAAGTGGCTATATAAATGCTGGGTTTGTACCTGTAATTAATTGCTCCCAGAATCGATTTAGCTATGCAAGAAAGGACCTGCCTATTGTGGTGTTTAATGTGATCTATCCATATGTTGTAAATATATAATGTGCGTGTGCATGTCTGATAAACATATAAATAAATAAATAAATCCATGTTTCATTAGTATTTGCCAATGGATGGCTTCCAGGTAATTGAAACTACTTAATGCTTGTATGAGGAATATACTTACAACTGACCAGTATCAATTAAAAAGAAAGACTTTAACCTAATGCTTTTACACATTTTTGCTTACTCCGGGCTCTCGATTTTATTAACTATCATCTCCTGCTTTGAGTGAAGCTGCTCTTTGTCCCTAAAGGATTCAGAGTTTACATGCGTTTAATCTCGTCTGCAGCGTCGCGGCGACCTCAGCACCACAAATCTGCTACTCCAAGTTTACAATGAAGTGTTATCTGCAGTGACAAATATGCTGAAAGGAAAACATAACCAGCCTAGATAATATCTTTGCTCTACAAAGGCAGCTTGCGATGCCTGTGCTTTGACTCAAAACTCCCCGCGCGCTGGCTTTTTAATCGTGTGATCCCTTTTTCAGCACAGCATCGCGAGTAACGACTGCGCCACAATGAGCCAGCTTCATCGATATGGGAATGTTTAGATTTCCCTGCCAGTGACTAAAGGCCTTTAGCTTTCACTAGCCAGTCCCAGCTCGCATTGTTGTTGCCTGTTGATTTGTCTTCTCTCATTATTCCTTGACATGCAGCTCTCCACCCACGCCCACACTAACAACCCTCACACAAAGCGCATTGAGGTATTAACCAGGTTACAAGTTCAATGGAAAATTACACTAAGATTGTGCTGTGTGGCAATAGAAAGGGATGGTATTCACTCTCCCAAAGAGCCTGTTAAAAACACAGCTGGTTTTGGGGTTTTTTTTTTTCTTTTTAAGCATCCTAACAAAAACAATTTTTAGAAGTCAGGAATGTATATTGGTGAGTATATGTATCTATACATACTTTATGTATAATTACAACAGATAGGCATGGGCATGCATCGCGTCTCCACCACTGACTGGCACGAGGCAAACTCCCCGCTGGAATTTCTGCTGGATTCTGGAGTTCGTTTAGAGCATCCCCAGAAACCCGAGCTAAATAAACAACCTCCTCCTGCTCTCAGCTGCAATTAGATACGTGAACCTATCTTCTTTTTGTTAGCCCAAATTACAGGCTGGTGGAAGCACTGAAAGTCTATAAAAATGTTTCTTAAGAATCCCTCCTTACTGCAAACTGAAAATAAATTCAAAATAAAACTTAATGAGATTAACCTAACACAGTAACAAAATTTGCAACACCACACTATAAGGTTAAAAAGAAAATAGTATAATAAAGGAAATACAAAGGCTTTGGCATGGTTTTTACAATCAACAATGGTTAATTTTGATATGTAGTTGTGAACAACTTCAAAACACTTAAGTTTAAAACTCTTGCAAGCACTTTTAATTGATTAGGAATGAATTCTAGATGCACAAAAATGATTGGACTGTGAACAGTAGTACAACTATATCTAAGAACAATTAACTCTTGCCGACCAAAAAGAAACGTATGATGCATGAAAATGTGTATAAAACATCTATAGAATATTCTTGTCAAATATAAATGAAATTAACTTTATTATAGAAATCATTCTGGGAGATTTCTAGGGAAGACAAATACTTACATTTCGACATAAAACAAATTGGATTATATCGAAGACACAATCTACCTTTTATCTATCAAACTCTTTTCTTCATCGAAGTTCTCTCTTAACCCCTGTTTGCACATAGCTTCAGCCGTTAACAACCTTTGGAAATACCAACAGATATTTTTCTTACATAAATCTAGTGCGTATTGTTCCAGGTTTAATTATATGCAATGGAATGATACAAACTTGGAACATCGATCCATAATCTATGAACAGATTGGTAGAAGTTTTCGATATATCTTGATAAAACTCTTGAATTCGTGGCAAAGCTCGTTGATCATGGCTTCTTTTTTTTTTCCTTTTCCTTTTTTTTTTTTTTAAAACAACTTCATGACCAACACAGATCAAACATCCATCCAGTCTACATTGTTCTTTTTTTTTTCATTATAACATACAAATGCCCATTTACAAATAATACACCAAAATGAATAAAAGTTTGGATACCAAAATGAAGATTTGTTCCAACTGATATAATGCCTTCAGTGTACAAAGGTCCATGTGAAAGTCTTTTCCATGTGTTACAGCGTAGGGCACAGTTGCAGTACAGAAGTACTCCGAGAGCCATTCTTCCTTTACAAAATACTGCTGAACATCCAACTGTTGTCCATATAGTCAGTTGCGGAATTAACACATGTTTTACTGTAATCTTGGCCAGTATTGAGACATATCAGGTTCACTGCCAGGAACTTGAACTGGAACTGACACCCCAGGGGAAATGAGACCTGAAAATTGATGGGGAAAATTGATATTTTAGTTTTCCTACACATAGCACAATTTTTGCTTTCGAGTTTCACAGATTTGTGCTTGTATTCTGGTATTAAATCTCGCCATCTACCAGCCTGCAGAATCAGCTGGGCAGGGC